AAAAAAAGAAAAAAAAAACTGCACCCGCGGCTGAAACCCAAGGGTCGCTCTTGAACTCAAGGCACCCCCGGGAGGTGACTTGAACTCAAGTGCGATTTTGCCTGGGATGCACTTGAGTTTCAAGAGCAACCACTTGAGATGCAAAATGTGAAAACAAAAAAGCATTTCTCTAGGACGGGGTGGAACGGCGATTTTTTGCGTCGCACTTGAACTCAAGTGGCGTGGAACGAGGCTCTAAGGGCCTCGCCACACTACTCCCGACTTGGCCATTTTTCGGAGTGCAGCATCGCCACACCAGCTCCCGAGTTCAACCTGTCAGATTGAATTTGGGCGCTGTCAGAATGTGGCTCCCAAGAGCACTCCCGATTCCCGAACTCACCGCCTGCAAAGCCGCCTTTTTCGAAAGACCTCCTTCGCTCCTCCGAGTTTCATCCCAGATTTGGGAGTGGAGCTAGAAAGGACAAACGACTTCTGCCAGACTGCTTCACACTGATCGTGTCCACCTGTGGCAAATGACATTTTCAGACTTTGAGAGCGGCCGGTTCGAGAGTGTAGTGTGGGGAAAGGCAATCCGGAGCCGGTTTCCACTTCTGAGAGCACTCCCGAAAATTTTCCCAAGTCGGGAGTGGTGTGGCGAGGCCCTAATAGAGCAATAATGAATCCGTGTAGCCCACTTCCCGGATTTAGCCTGTAGCCCACTTTTCTGAATTAGGCAAGTTTTCCGAATAGATCGAGAGCGAATTGGGTGAAGCCCTGTTGCGGAATGCTCCCGTCGAGTGTGACGCTCGTGAAAAATGGGAAGTCCGGGTAATGAAAAGCAACTGCAAGGAGAGGGGGAGGTGGCCTCGAAAAGTGAAATGGCTTTCATCGCGGTAAGAGAATCTCACAATGAATTAACACCATCCATTTTCTCCTTCTGCACTGCGGGTAGAAGGAAGGATAGCTATGGTGAAAGAGTTTTACGCATGAGCACGAGCCGCACACACAACACAGGCGAAACTAGAGCCCCTGAGGTAGCGTCCCATTTTTCTTGGGAGTACCAGAAAAGAAAATACAATCGGACCCAGGCTTGGCAATACTCAGTGTGCAGTGAAATTAAGGTTCGACAAAAACAAGATGGGAGGTAGTGCACGGTGGGAAATGACGCGCTCTGCGGTGAAGGGGCTAGCCTATAGGATTGAAATAGAGTACAGCAGCGGTGGAGATGGTGGCTTCATCGTGGTAAGACTTGCCGGAGTAGGGTTGAGAGGGATTTTTTGGGGGATATCTGCAACCAGTGAATCAAGGAGATGAATGATGGGATCTACAACTATGGTACTGATTGATGGCTTGACTGGTATTTGCCTTAGTCCTGAGTCCCAGTGGTTTGCAAATAGACGAGACCAGAATGAGGCTGGTCGGTTCAGGGGCTTGGTTGCACTGCCCTGCAACTCAAGCTGTATGAGGGCATGAGACCTGGTAGAGAGATCTGGGGAGTTGTTGAGGGTGGAAGGCACTCTAGTGCTATGTGACACCTGTGGCCTAGGCCGCGGGCATTTCGGCCGCAGCAGCTAAAAAAGTCGGCCGTGGCCGCGGCCGATGAGGCCCAGTCCGCGGCCTGGTTTTTTATTTTTTATTTTTTTGCCCCTAAAAATACGTAAAAAAAAATAAAAAAATATAGGGGTGTAGGGCTTGGAAAACCCTACAATCCTATGTTTTTTTATTTCGGATTCGATAGGATCTTGATTGGTTTGGTTGATTGATTGATTGATTGATTGATTGATTGATTGATTGATTGATTGATTTATTGATTGATTGATTTGATTGATTGATTTATTGATTGATTGTGTGTGTGTGTGTCTGTGTGTGTGTGAGAGAGAGAGAGAGAAAGTGGAGAGAGAGAGAGAGAGAGAGGGAGAGAGTATGTTTGTGTGTGTGTGTGTGTGTGCACGTACGGGTGTGTGTGTGTGTGCGCGTGCGCGGGTGTGTGTGTGT